CGTTTTCAACTTGAGTAACGATCACTACATTAAAGGCAGTCGGCGCGATAATTTGGTACTCGGTCTAAAATGCTAGCAGGGTGCTATATAGTGGAAAAATGGCGAAAAACGAAGTGAAACGGTCAAAAACCTGCGAAGAAAAGCCTTCGTTCTTAATGACTCGAAAAGCAATTTCGGACGAGTTTCCCGTAGGCATCTTGCCAACAACCGCTACGGTAGATATGGCTGCACTTATGCACTTATTTATCCATGCAGCATCGAGGCTCCTTCATATCAATCCCTTCGCTTCATATTTTACTTCGCAAATGAAGCAATACGAGCGTCAGGAACGGTCGTCCATTTGTGGGCGGGCGGTGCGTCCGGGTCGGTATTTGTTGCAGGCAGTGAATGGGTGCGGCTACTAAGGGCTAACCGTTTCTCTGAAAGGCGCAGGCAGCGCCTGCTCAGGGGGCGGGAATTCTGTCCTGCCAGACGTATGTATTCCTAATTCGTCTTATCGTGCTAACTGCCTTTAAGGATACGAACCCACCGAAGATTGTACGGGCCACCTTGTGAAGAATTGTAGAGCCCTCTTTCCTGAAGCTTAGAGGACTGTAGAGGCTCACTCGTACCCTTTCTCGCTGCTTCGCAGTAATTTACAGATTTCACTTTGGTCACTTCGGTGTTGGCTTATATGCTTAGTACAAAGGAACTGACAACCGGGAATTTGCTTCCCTTCCCCTGCCGAATAGCGGCGGGCAGTGCACGATCACTTGAAGGCGGAATCATTCCTCGCCCACGATTTTTCTGTTCACAGTCGTTTAAGGAATGCCACTATTTGTGAGAGGGCGGCTTGCAATGACTCATATAGTTGACTGAAGCAATCGGGCTCTAAATGCTCTGGAATGCTCCTCATGTCGTTTCACGTTCAATATCTGAGCACGCCGTTATCTTGTCTATCCCCCATCAGTACTTTAAAACTATGATTTGAGCCGTGCCCTGTCCCGCCCCCCACTCCTCCCCCACCTCCTTGAGGAGTTTTGGATTCTGCACTCAGTATTATAAACCATCTTTGAGAACATGGTTAGTTGGGGGCACGCGTTAACTTCGATAATTTAAGAACTTATCATCGTTGTTAAGCACTTACTTTACGCTAACGTTGATTTTTTTTTGCGAATTATTGAGGTATTTGCAGGTAATTATGGTGATGCAAACTCACTAGGGGGCGGCGGAAGAGGTTCGGCCGACGATTAATTCCGTAAGTCGTCCGTGGTTGTGATAGCGGATAACAACGGTCTACGTGTCCACAAAATTCCTCGAAAGATGGTGTTGTTCTTTTTTTCACTCTTATTATCGTGTAGTACTAGGCAACAGGGCAAAACAAACCGAAAATATTGTGGTACAATCTGCACACTAAAAACTGTTGCCGGCGAGCACGCAAACGATAGAAAATTCAACAAAAAATAATCGATAAGATTCTAGCGTATTCGGAAAAATAAGCATTTCAGGAATTGCCCACTCTCTATTGCCCTACCTTTCAAAATTACAGGAGACATCTGATGTTGTGTCGTCCATGCTTGGGCGGTGCCGGTGTAGTTGTTGTTATTGTAGTGAAATCTTTTCCGTGTCCGTTCGTAGTTCTGTATCGCGTCGACAAGTAGGCGTCAAATACGAAAAATCGTGCTGTCGTATGCTACCATACTCGAAAATCGGCGCTGATCCAGCGTGGTAGACCCATAAGGATAAAGAACAAAGGTTGTAACAGAATGTAACAAGGTCTATCCATAAATTTTCGGTCCGCCGTGGCTGTTTTCATAAGATTATTTTATAGATTTATCTCTCTCCTTAATCTCTGAGTTGTGAAAGATCATCCAAAAGCATATCAGTAATGCATAGGAGTTGCCGATACATCTTCTAGTTAAATTGGTGGGAAGCTTTTTTATCTCCGAAACTTTTCTGAATTAGAAGAAAAATTGATTGTCAAAGTCATTATATTGTTGGTTGGCACACAAGCAGGAGAGGTGACGCTAGAGAGCGGATTATTTGGTGATCAGGACCACGTATACTGTGGGAATTCCTCACAGTGGGGGGGGGTTGAATTTAGTCGCTGGAGGGAAGGGGGTCCTATCTGATGAGGGGAATAATTCATTGCTGATTTTCCCGTTTCTCGCTTACTGTACCACCCTAGTCCCCCACACTCTGCACCTACTAACGCGGGTTTACCGCGCTTGTTCCCAATTCTGAGTAGGTTAACTTTGTGGTTTCGCTAGTCCCCCGTTCATATCTTGTTCTCGCAGCCTTTATTTCTCGGTCTGGCCCGCGCTACAGTGTCTCGCTATTTTCAGCTCTTTCGATCCTGGGGCCTTATTTACGTTTTGTTCACTTTTCTTCACTGATGAACTAGTCACGCATCCACATTAGGGCCGCGAAGCTCACGAACTGATGGAATGTGTCTTTAAGTTCGTGTATTTCGCATCAGGGAAGAGCGCTGCATAGGCGATTGGGTGCTCCATTCATGGAAAGTCTATGCGACTCACTGAACGCTTTTTTGAATTTTTAAGTTTTGGACACGCAGTGAGCTTCACACAAAAAGCCTCATCTACAGTGCGACTAGTTGCAGAAGACTTGCGACTACACATCTTTTTGGATGCAGAGCTCGGATGTTTCCCATTTTTGGCATTCCCATCTGTTTGAAGGCTCTTCTGCGACTCAGGCATCACGTGTAGTCCAGATTCCTGACCGTGAGACTCGCTAGGCGTGGCTGCGTACTTCATTTGGTGGCTACGGATTTGGTGGGAAATTTTCATTTTGGGACTATCGTAGTCATTGCTTTGTTAGATGACAGTTATCTTGAATTGAAATATCGGAATATCCCAAGAACGCCACATTTGAGTTTTCTTCAGATTCGACGTTTTTTTTTGTTGTGAAGGGATTAGCAACTAGCATTTCCACCTGTGTATTTTGCGACAGGTGTAAAGGCGCTGTCCAGACTGACATAGAATGGATAGATAGATAGAGACAGGACAGACATACAGGGGAGAGGCAAAAAGCCACCTTTCTTTCTCGACATTCAAGGTGATATAAGTTACACTTTATTGAATTCTGATTGGGTATTTCTTCATCAAATTCAACAACCCATCGCACACCATCACGAAACTTCGCCACAGCCTTCTAAACAACGCCATCGAGAGATTCTGCCACGCGACCGTGATTCGGTGCCTGAGTTCAGCGAGGTCGTTGATTTCTCCGCCACTGTAGACCACCCTGTTGAGCTCCGCTCGGACCCGGTAATCGAGGGGGTTCAGGTCAGGTGACACACTTGGATATTCCGTCTTCTTCAGGTACTCAACGCCCTTCCATTCCAAGTAGGCGAGAGTTTTTCCAACGCCCTTCGATTCCATGTGCTGGCACCCAATCCTGTCGTATGAAGTTTCCAAGATGGTGCAGGCGACGATACAATGGCATATTCTCCTCGAGCTGGTCGACTTAACCGTCAGCGTTCACCTTCAGTCCAGTCCGGGGTCCACGAAGAAAATATCGGTCTTCCCACTCCACGAACTTCCCTACCATACCATTAACCCGCACCTTAGCAACTGCAGAGAAGATGATTTCCTAGACCGTAGCGACGTTGTCGGAGCTGCTCGATGTTGGAGGTCTTCCAGATCAAAAGTGCTGGTCCCCAGGTAGCTGTCCATGGGTGACTCCATACAAGAAGTTTCGCAGCTGTTTGGAGGCGAAGTGAATTCCAAGGGCCTTCTCCAATCAGGCTGCGATCAAAGATGGCTTCATATT